GAATTGGTGGTTGGTAACTCTGTTGATAATTCTTTCCCGCGTCGCACCTCGCACTTTTAATTTCAGTAATTTTTTATAAAATGTTTTTGTCTTCAAGTACCTAAAAAGTGTTCGCCTTCCCTCTCATCATGTCTCCTCTCAAAAGTAAGGCATGAGGTTATTTTACTATGAAAACTAAATCTTGGCATCTTGTAAACTCAGCGGGAATACGTCTAATCTTGTCAAACATTTGAAAAGAAAACACCCGTTGATCAATTTTTTCAATACTCGATAACGATAAAATTGAAATATCAATTTTGTTGAAATTTGTAGTCAGCTTTTCCTTGTTCTCACTTACGTACCTGCTGAATGAAAAAAATACATAAAAATATGAGAAAAAATGCAAATTTTTGTTTATTTTAACGCATGAGCGTATTTCACCCACAAGTCGATAGTAGGTAAGTTGATCTATAAATAAACGACAAAGTACACATATGAGTAAGTACTCGTTAGTATCGAATAATTTCTGTCGATACTTGAGTAGTATCGAATATTTCTTTCGATACCAGTATCGACTACCGTTGCCAAAGGTAGCCAGAACTAGTTCAGAGATTTCCAAGGAAGAGAGACAAGCCTTGAAACTAAAGTTATATCCAACCGTCTATATCTTGTTTGCAATAATTTGAGAGCTAAATCCCTCGACGTGCACAAAAAACCTTGCAGTGGATTAGAAGTTTCCAACACACCATTTTAAAATTTCCTTTCTGTTTTTGGTTTAACGTTCTAACAGTCAGTACTGGCGTTTTACATCAACTTCTGAGCAATATTTCCTCCAAGTTACCTATTATGCTTTTTCAATTTCCCTATTATATTTGTTGTGTTTGACTGTATTCTTCAGTTCTTGATGATTTTTTTTTTCATCTTATTCCGTAATCGGCGGGTTTTTTCCTCCTTAATATGTCTTTCCACGAGGAGTCTCTTCATTTGCTGGTACGGGCAGTTTGAAAACAGGATTCTTGATATGACCTATTTCTGAGACCAAACATAATTTTTTAAGAGAACTTATGGGTTCTTTTCCAGGTTAAATATAAATAAAGTTTAAATTGATGGTAAAGACATAACCTCCAAAATTTTGACAATAAAGCAGTCTTATTTTGTAGATTAATCAGGATGAATCAGAAGTTCATCCATTCTTTCATCCTATGTGGACACTGTTAAAAACTTACATCCGCATTAATTAAAAATTCCAATACTACTTTTTCCTTTCTTATCCTTTAAAGGATTTTCACTCTAACGTAGAATGGAAACGTTTGGTTATTAGTTGGAGGGATTTCCCAAAGTGTGCCAATTTTACGACTTCAATTCATTTTACCTTAATAAAGGGAAAAAGAGTAGCGCATCACAAAAAGATTAAAGAAGTTTATTCGGGGAAACAAAATATTCAATTCAAATTATGACTTATTCCACCGGATAGGAAATCTTCCTGGATGCCAGGTTTCTTTTATTAATTTCTTTTTATGTGTGTGTACGTTCAGAAAAAATATTCTGTGCCATCCCGGGAGTGCCCTCGACTGTTTAGCTCGAGGCGGTGCAACCCCGCTAAAAGGGAAACCCGCTATTCACGAAAATATTGTTTAACCGTCGCGCCTTGCATGATTTCAACCGTCATGGCAAATAGCAGAACTACATTCTAACATCTACATTCTAAGTGGTACGTGATGACTAATACTTTAAAATAAAAATACACATATAACAGTGCTTTTAAAAGTCCGCTAGATCTCGCTTTGTTGTAATCATAAAAAAACTGGGATTTCATGAACACCATTTCTGCAATATTTTATGATTATTGATTATTTGGCTTTGTTCTTCATTGATGATGATTATGAGGAACATACTAGGAAAAGGGGTTGACATTCCCCAAACTGCAAATTTTTGATTTATTATAATTAATTAAGGTTTTTAGTTGAGATAAAAAAGTCAATGGCACGAGCGGGATTCCCACGATCTTCGGCTTGATACGCCGCTGCTCTACGGCTTGAGCTATCGTGACCTCCATCTACTCGGACACCAACTTCCCATCTCAACCGCACCTTTTGAGTTTTCCCTCCTTTTTGCCATTTTTCAAATGTCGAGTAATCGGATTGGATTCTCGACGACAAATGAAATGGCCACGGAGAATTGTATCAGCGGCGTATCAAGCCGAAGATCGTGGGTTCGAATCCCGCTCGTGCCATTGACTTTTTTATCTCAGCTAAAAACCTTAATTAATTATAATATATTAATTGGTCAAGCGGACCACGAAATTAGAGAACTTTTGATTTATTGTACTTTTCCTAGTTTCTTAGTCCAGTTCAACTGATTCTGGTGTGTCTTGATGAACTCACCATTCCTTACGCTATTTGCATACTCTCATCTGTTATGTATATTGTGGATAAAAGAACTCCCTTCCGAACTAACTCCCTACTGCAAGAACTGGATTTGTTATAGTGTAAATTGGGCTGCATCGGGATAAATTTGAGATCGATAAGAAAATCGCGTCCCCTGGAATGTTGTATTTTTTTATCCTTTCGGTTTACCTTTGTCCATAACTATTCATCATATTGAAATTTTCTTAAATGCTAAAAGGCAAAAATATAACAGTAATTTGTTTAAAAAAAGCCCATGAGCTGAAAAATATATTTTTTGTATAAAGAAAAGTGTAAAATATTATCCCAACTTTAGGTTGTTGCCAGAGATTAAGGTATCATTTTTTTTTAAATCATGCTTGTTACAAAATTGTGGTGTACGAATAAAAATTAAACAAAGAAGTTTGGTTGTAATATATCAAATAAATTTTAAGAAAATGTTATCGGACAATTGAAACAATTTGGCCTTTCTTTGAACATATAATTGACCTTGAAAAATTTCTGAAATACGATAAAATTTTATAGTATTTTGATACATAAACTGAAAGGACAGACTCTTCTGAAAGCGCAATGCTTATAAAAATTAAAATCAATTGAGGACATGGAGTTTGTAAAAAAATTAGGAAGGAAAACCATCCATTCGTCCGAAAAATAGTCGCTACCTCGCTAAGCCATTCGTCATAACCCATATATCTATTCAGTAGTCATAATTGACCTTTCAATTATTTATATTTTTATCTAAGGTCTTGGTTGAGATGAAAAAAACTAGTGTCACGAGCGGGATTCGAACCCACGACCTTCAGTTCAATACGCAGCTCCTATAATCACATGACCTATTGTGACTTAGTTCCGCCCGAACACCAACTCCTCATCTCAACCTCCAACCTTTTCTAATTTTCCCTCTTTTTGCCATATTTTCAAAAGGTTCAAATACCGCTCATGACAATAGCTTTTTCATCTCAACCAAGAACTTAGATTAAAATATATTTAATTCGTCATAATGTTTATACAAATGGGAAAATTTTGTTATACATTATTTTATTTATCTCGTTGTACATTTTGATCAGCAGGTTGTTCCACTGGTGGGCTTTAATTAAGCACTCCGAACATTTCAATGAAGTGAATCTTCATTAAACTGTTTGGATAAGATAATGCTCATAATTCGCACAATGTTCACTTCGTGGAATAAAAAGGGCATCAGCCTGTACGATCGTTTTGTATCTGAGCTTATGAGATGGCTCACTTCATTCAGCGTGAGTCGTAGTGTCAAACATAAATTCAAGCGTGCAAAACCCGTTTCGCCGAGTCCTCCCCCCACAGTCTAATCCCCATTTTTCGGAAAATTTCATTTCGTAGGCTTATCTCACCCTTTGCCACAACAACGGGGATTCGGAAATGAGTTACCGATGGATTCTCGATCACTGAAATTCAGCCCAAATAACCCCCTTGGATTCATTCGAACGTAACATCATTTTTCATCCTTTATAGTTTTCATTCATCATTTCCCTAGGTGCTTTTTACTTTTCCCTAGTCAACTTCTTCTTTACGATTGCCGTGGACTAAATTTATTGCTGGACATTTTTCGTAAACACGTGTAACTTCTTTGTCATTATAGTCTNGGGATTCGAACCCACGATCTTCGGCTAAATACGCCGCTGCTCTACCACATGAGCTATCGTGACTTCGATCCACTTGGACACCAACTTCCTATCTCAACCCCACCTTTTGAGTTTTCCCTCCTTTTTGCCATTTTTCAAATGTCGTATAATCGGATTGGATTCTCGGCGACAAATGAAATGGCCACGGAGAGCTTTAGTGAAGTATACTGAAAAATGGCAAAAAGGAGGAAAACTCAATCTAGCCGAAGATCGTGGGTTCGAATCCCGCTCGTGCCATTGACTTTTTTATCTCAACTAAAAACCTTAATTAATTGTAATTTTCATAAAGATAAATAGGTCAGAGACTGGTATGTGTGATTGTTGTTTGGGCAGAGTCAACTTGCCATAATGGTATGTACAAAATTCTACAAATAAAACTATTTTTCAATGAAGTAAACCGTTACCTCGTTATCTGAAACTTCCATTTGACTATGGCGTGATGTCCAAAGAAATATCAAAATTTATAAATTAATTTATCATTTTTTGAAAAATTAAACATAATGCATAATTAGTACCTTCAGTAATCTTTAATCGGTAATGATTATTACTTTTCACTGTTTTGTCAATTGACATTATGTGTGGGTGGGATGATTGTATCGTTCTTTCATTCCATTTCACGCCGTATCGTTTAACACTGAACTTTTTTTATATAAATTGTAAAAGATCAAACTAATTACATGGTCAGGGTTTATGTTTGAAGTTTTGATAGTTCCTACAAATGAGGCTAGTTAACGGAGACAGTCTTTAGGATGACGGCGGGTCCTCTTAACCGTCAGAGCCAGGCTAATAATTACTAGTTTGAGATTGGACGAAGGGCAGCTCGTATTGCCCCATAAGATTTCCTGTTTAGATATGAGTATCTCACCTTTAGCCCGGTCGGACTTTGGACATTATCGTCTTCTCTTAACTTACTTCTGAAAACACAGAGGAATCAGTGCGGTGAAATTTCGAAGGGCACTCCTTCCAATCCCAAAGTTGTATTTTTTTAGCACTTTTTCAGACATTAGCTAATAAATTCATCTCTATTCTAACTACAAATTACATACGTATTCGAATAGGTAGGAATACGGTTCTACTCAAAGGCACCACTATCAAAACTTAGAGGCCAATAAAAACAATAATTTCACATGAAGAAGGACAATAATCCCATTTTAATAGAGTCAGTACAACAGGCTTTGCAGCTACCTCTTACAAACCTAACATATCATTTGACCAACCATAAAAGCCTTTTGCCATTCTTTGGCTGAGTAACAGAGTAACTGATCGACACTTCGGTACACGAAGAAAAAGGGAGAAGTGAAGAGGCTACGGAATTGTATGAAAACATTTGATTTATCTTCTGACTGTCCCCTTATGCCATAGAGTATCCCGTAAAATGCACTTAAAGCGTGTTAAAAATGGAGAACGTTAAAAACCTTATGATTCTAATTTTCCTCGTCGTCATCACAAATGCCTTTTGCAATAACGTCCTGATTTTCTAATAATACTCATTATATATTTACAGCTTTCTTAATTCAAGATCTGGGGATCGGGTTTCTCATTTCTTCCCCTTGGTTATACTAAGAAAGAAAGTGCATTATTATGATGTGCTCAATATCTTCCTTGGCATTGCAGCCGATATATAAAACGTAACGTTAATTTATTCTAAGCAGGAATGTTCCACAAAACCCATAGTTGCTATGGATTCAATTCATCACCGTACACTATTTTAAGTCCATTTTATTGAACCATGACTTTTTTCCTAAAATGGTTGATTGACAAACGTCGTAACGATGCATTTTAATTTCAGGGTGCTGCGAGACAGGACCAAGGTTTGTCGTCGAGCCGCCAAGGGAGTTGATCGTCTGGTACAAGGACGGCGGTATCGCTAACTGCGACGCAAGTGGAAGCCCTGAGCCTAGGATAACTTGGTACCTATCCGGTGAGAACACGCCCCTTCAGCCGGTGCCCAAAGTCAGAAGAGTGCTGGAAAACGGTTCCTTGTACTTCCCTCCGTTTAAAGCCGAGGAGTTTCGCCCGGACGTGCACCTAGCAACGTATCGATGCCTGGCAGCAAATTCCGCCGGAAAGCTGCTGTCCTTGGACATGACAGTGCGCGCAGGTATTTCAAAATTAAATAAAATATATTTCAACAACCACACAGTTTGTTTCTACAATCATCGTGGTAAAACCAAATAAAAGGATTTTTATATTGTTTTTGTGGCGTGAATCCAATGCTGTTTCTCGACGAAAGGTAAATGGTTGAACAAACCGGGTTTTCAATCAAACCAACTTCTAAACGCCCAGAGGCAGAACCTATATTTTCTGCATATTCATGAGACGCGACTCACTTATTAAAATCCTTCCACCCTCCTCCTCGTTCAATGCATAAAATTGAAAATCTTTTTGTTGACAACAAGTTACAAACACAGCTTCGTTATTTTGGTGTCGATTGTTATATTTTTTATTAGTTTTGTCTTAATGTACTGCACTTAAATGGCTGATATCCAGTTCGATGTAGACAATTAAACGGGCTGAAATGAATTTTCTATAGTAATTTCAATAGCGGTTCTCTATTTTTTTATTTTTTCAACTGTTATATTGCCTCTATTGTTATTATTCTAAAATTATTACTGTGCTCTAATCTCTTATATAAGCAAATTCCTTGGAGTGAGAATTGCCATAACGAAGTTATAATATTAAGATTACACAGTATCCGAACCAGTGCCGCAAATCCACAAAGGATGTGCCCAATATCTATGGTTTCTCCTGACAGAGTCGGCATGCTTCTGGTTCTCCTTTTCCCATCTTCTTTAACTGGTGGTTAAGAGGGCCAGTGGCCGCTAAAGAGTTTTTTTCAAAATTTGCCTGCTGAGAGAGAAGCGTTCTTTCACCTTCCTTTTTCTGAGATTTCTTAATCTCTTAGCTTGCTCATACCCGGTGTTTTATGCAGTGGTTCAGTTCGGTTTGTTGTGGTTTCGGTCACACTGGTGAGAGGATAGCTCCTTTGGTTAGCAGGTCAGCCTGTTTGTTTTTCTTCTATACCTTCATGTCCTGTAACTCACCATAAAGTAACCTCGTTATGTTTAAGGCCATTAGGCAATTTAGGCATTCCCAGACTAGTTTAGAGCTAAAAACATCAGCATTTAACATCTTTTATATCTTTTATAGCTCCTGATTGTCCGAAAGTGTGTGTGCATCGTTCATTTTTTTCTTTACTCCTGTGCACAGAGTTGAATTCCATGGACCTCAGTTTGAAGATAATCCAAGGGGTTATGCTAGGGTATAAGTACCCGATTGCCCTCTGTAACCATTCCCTGTTCCATCTTTGATCCATCAAAGAAGCTCCTAAACTTAGCATTGCTTTTCTTCCAAAGATCTCTGTTATTTATGTCCAGATATAAAGGTCTGTCGAATCAGTTTTCCTATCATTTTGTAGATATCGTTTTATAGATATCGTTTTATATATATTACGCAGGGCGGGCAACCAAGACCCCGAGGGGTTAAATGCCTGGGTAGACTCGTACCCCATCCCTAAAGGGTCCGGGACTTTGTCGGTTCACATGTCCTGCATAAACCTCTTGGACTTGTTCACAAACCCCAAGATTTTGGACCGTTTTATCTCAGGGAGTGATTTGGTAATGTCCTCTCCTTCAAAAGTTTCAAATCTATCACTGTCGTACCTATCACACTCTGCGAGGTAGTGCCGTGCTGTTTCATCTTTTATTTCACTAAAACGGCAGAAGGGGTCTGGTAAAATACCCATTACGAAGAGGTGTCTTCTCAAAGGGCAATGGCCCGTCAGGATACATATCAGCCTCCTAATTCCCTTCCTTGAGTCATAGAATAGCCATTTTGATTCTTTTGGTTTGATCTCCTTCACAAACTCCTTCGATTGCCTATGTCCGGGGGACAGATTCCATTCTTTAAGGAATTGTTTCATGCCCCAGCTATTAATACTCTCTTTCGCTGTGCTTGTAGAGTGGGGTAATACCGGTTGTAGCCCGACAAACGCGGTATTAGATCCTTCTTTGGCCAGGCTATCCTCCTCTTCATTGCCATAGTGTCCCTTATGAGCTGGTATCCACATGAGGGTTACCCTATTCTCGTCCCTGGTAGTAACCCTGTTAATAAGTTCAACGGTTTCCTTCACCAGCCTAGATGTTCATAACTCCTTTTGTAATGACTTAAGACCGGCCTGACTGTCTGAAAAGATTCTTATATCTTTTCCCGTAATCTTGTTATCCATGAGTGTTCTGCAGCAAAAATTGATGGCCCAGACCTCCGCCTGAAAGACCGAGGTGTTATTACCAAGAAGGGAGGAGATACTGATCCCTAATTTAGGTATATGTATTCCAGCACCGCTTCCCTTATCCTTAATGAGTGAACCATCGCTGAAGCAGTCTAGGCTACGATGGTCCTCATCCGCACTATAGTTATAATCACAGGGAGTAATTACCTGAAAGTGCTTTTTCCCTAAACGTGTTTTAACCTTTTTATCGCTAACGCTTAGTAGTTGGTTATTAACCTTACTTAGTAAATGTAGAATTTTCGAGTGACCTATGTTGTTTCCCTTATGGTTCCAGCTACCTTCACTAATTAATCTATAGCAGCTGGTTAGTGCTCTAACCTTAACCTCTATGTGTAGAGGTTTAGTATTGGTTATAATTTCAAGTGCTAGGGTGGGTGTGGTGGTAAATGCTCCCGTTATCATCATACAGCCTAGTCTTTGAGATGATCTTAGCTTGTTAATATTCCATTTATTATCTGGCCCTTTCCACCATACTATGGCTGCAAATAGAAATCTAGGTAGTATAATGGCGGTATATATCCATTTGGCCACACAAGGTTTAATACCCCATGTTCTACCAACAATTCTCCTACATTGCACCATAGATACTGTGCCTTTTCTATATATATTGTTAATGTGGCCTTTCCAATCAAGTCTCCTATCAAGCGTTACCCCGAGGAATTTGATTGAATCCCTCAATTTTAATTCGATACCCTGAAATTTTGGGTTTTTGAAGTTGCCTAGTGTTCTTCTCCTGCTAAACATTATCATTTCCAGTTTTGCTGGTTAATTGAAAGACCTTTATCACAACACCACTCAGATAACAACCCCATTGCCTCCTTCATCAGCAGTGAGAGGGTCAGGGGATCTCTGCCCGTGATCATTATGGCAGCATCATCTGAAAATCATTGGCTATAGAAGCCTGAGTTATTCAGAAGTTCTATTAAGCAATTTACTGTGATTAACCACAGAAGACGGGATAAGCAGCCTCCCTGTGGACAGCCTCCTGTGACATTGATTCTCAGAGTACTACTGCCTAAGCACATATTTACCATCCGTCGCTCAAGGTAGGTTTTCACCCATCCTGTGAGGTGTTGGTCTACATTGTTTCTATTTAGTGCTGATATAAGGCAGGAAGTATCTGCATTATCAAACGCCCCTTGGATATCAAAGAAGCATCCTAACGTATATTCATTATTGAATAATGATTTCTCTATCCTTCCTACTAGTGAATCAATGCAGTTTCCACTGATTTTCCTGGTAAATAGGCATGCTGATTGGGATGTATCATGGTATTAATTCCACATTCATGTCTAATATATTTATCTAGGATTTTCTCTATTATTTTAATGAAAATAGAAGATATACTTATAGGTCTATATGATTTAGGTAATTGATAAGAGACCTTTGCTGGTTTGGGTAAGAAAATTACCCTTGTTTCCTTACAACATTTATGTACCCAATGCCAGACTGGTCCTTAGGAGATCCCAAACGGTACCAGAAAGACCAGGCGTATCCTTAGATATCGTTATAGCCACATCAGTTATTTTAATTATCTTTTCAGATCTGGGTTTGTTTCCTTGTATCTCGGGAGTGATTGGCACTCTCGAAAGCCACCTTATATACATGAATCCATCGGTGTTGTGGGACAATTATGCATTATGTTATGTTAAGGTTATGTTAAGACACGCTAGTCTTTGTACACTTTGTAATTGGTTTTCTGCCTTATGCAGTGTGTTTCGCCACCTTACGGTGCTCGGTCTGACGTATAAGCACTGCAGTGAATATAAAATATTCAGCGTAATTGATGGGATACTCAACGTTATGTTGGCGAAATCATTTCTCAGTTACTTTCCCACTGTTGTAAATCAGAGAAGTTGGATTCCACTTATCTCTTAGTTATTATTGCCTTTTTGAGTATTTTCGATAATTCATTTTTTGTCTTTTTAATAATGTTTTTTTGTATAATTAATATATACAACCATTTATGAACAAAATAATTATTACATGGTTAACTTTATGTACAACACTTATTTTCTCTTGTCATATTTTTATTTTTGCACTGCACAAGAATTCATACAGTTTATTGTATGTTGTTTTGGTGTATGAGGAAAGTAGAATTTCATTGTTAATATCTTCTCCTAAGATGGTACTTCTTTCTTCTTTGTATCTTTTGCATCTCATTATGATGTGCTGAAGATCTTCCACGCAACCGCACACTTGGCATTGAGGTGAATCCTTTTGTCCTATTTTATTGAGATAGTAGCCACATAGACCATGATTTGTCAGCAGTCTATTTAAGGTCGTGGTCTGCGCCCTGTCGTATACTCTCCACGGTACCAAGGCTCTCGTCCTACTAAGGGGAAAATTCTCTTAAAAAATTGGCCTGCTCCTGCGGATGAATACGCCAATTTCCAGTCCACGAGAAGAGTCAAATGTAGGGATCTTTTTACGTCTTTTTTTGGAACTGGTATGGCCAATGTGAGTCTAGACTCCGTTGCTTTTTTGGCTAATTTGTCAGCTATTTTATTACCTTTTATCCCCACTTGCGCTTGTATCCACACTAATGAAACTTCCAGCCCATCCGACTGTATTTCTTGGATACACTGGAGAATTCTCATTACTAAATGCTCCGTGATAAAACCCTATTCAATCCCTTTTAGTTTTTCCACTACGCTTTTACTATCTGAGCAGACCACCGTGTGCCTAATTTGTTTTTGTTTCGCATATTCTAGTGCCTTTAATATTGCGACCAATTCTGCAGAGTTCATTGACAGATTATCTGGCAGTTGAAACATTGGTTTCAGATTTGCTTTGGGGTCGTAAAAAGC